ACGAGAGGAGTCATTCTAGGGTTCTCCTTTAGAGAACTGTAACTCCCATCTTCAACTGACGATTATCCTTAGTGTTTGTTTTCACATACTAATTAAGCCTTTGTATATAACCTATCTCTCTCATCACTCCTACCACCCCATCACCCCTTCATCAATGTGTATAACCTCCTCATTCCTCTCAGAGCCCCAAACAGCAAATCAGCTGCCGTCATCACAGCCTGCAAGAATGACGTTCCATGCTCGTAATGCCTCACATTTAGTCTCTGACACTTCCAGATAATTTGTTTCCCCATGTGAGTCTGAACTTCACCCTGGCCAGCTCCATCACTCTATGCCAGGTCACGACAAGTTATCTTCCCTTAGCCCAGGGTTAGCACTATGTGGGCACTCTCTTCACACCAGTTGGGCTCAAAAACTCCATGTCATGTTACCACCATGTGTATCCACACTCCTTGACACACTGGCTCTCATTTCTTCCTCCAGGCTACACCTTGTTGGGAATGTAATCATCACCTTGTTTGGGCTCTGATTCTCCATGCTGGGTTGGCATTGCATAGATGCCCTCCTCGCCTTCTTTAGGATCCAATACCTAGTGCCAGGACTACTTTCATCCTGTGTGAATGCACTTATGCCATTTCTATCATTCTTGGACTAACTCCCCAAACCAAGCTGTTCGCCCATGAATTCACCAACTCACTCTGTTTGGGCTTTGAGACCCCTACTCAGGGATGTCCTTTTTTTGACAAATTTTCTTTGATCTGCTTGGCCTTTGAAACCTCACACTGAGTCACCCCTCTGCATGGATTTTTGTTCACACACTCGGATTCTCTAAAATTGGTGATTTAGCTGATTCCAACAAATTTTAAAGTGTAGATATTCATTATTATTTTCAAATGTTATCGAATATTCATAGAGAATTCTTCTCTGACCCATATGTACTGAGAACTGTGTTTTGCTCGCTTAGTTTCCAAACACTTTGGTGATTTGCTGGTTTTCTGTCACTGAGTTCTACTTTAAGTCACTATAGTCAGAGAAATACAATATAGTCAGAGAAATACATTTAGACTTCAATCCTTTGAAATTAATTTCATCTGCTTTAAGGCCTAGGATATGTTTCATTGTGAAACTCTTCCATGTACACTTAAAAATGTGTATTCTGCCATTGTTGCATATTATTTCTCATGTTTGTATGTATATGTGTGTGTGCATATATATATATATACATATAAATGTATTTTTCAGCTGTTGAATTGATTGTACAGTTTAAATATTTCATATCCTATTGCATTTAGTTTCGTTTTGTCTATCAGTCATTAAGAGCATGTTAACATCTCCATATAAAATTGTGGATTTACCATCTCTTAGTTATGTCAATGTTTCTTGATAAGTTTTCCTGTGTTATTAGATGAATACATGTTTAGTTATGCATGCTTCTTAAATTTACCACTTTATCATTATAGAATATCTCAATCTCTATTACACCTTGCCTCACATTCTACTTTGTCTGACGTTAGTATAGATCAATTTTATTTTAGCGTTTCCAAGGAATATCTTTTTCCCCATTATATTCATTTCAACCCTTCTGTGTCTTTATATTTAATGTTTCTAAATAAAGTGCTAAGATTTGACCAGGGCTTTTTATCCTTGCTAGACCCTAAACATGTCTCCTAAGTTGTAAATCTGTTGAAAGCTCAGTAGAACCTTTCTTTCAGCCTTTTTTTTTTTTCTCTTTAATCTACCCTTTCCTCAGGGAAAATATTGCCACAATAAACAGGCTTACTTCTCTGCTTTTCTCTCCTCTCCTACTTATTTTTTCTATAAGAACTCTTTCCCTTATAATTTTCTGATGCTTCGAATCATTTTTAAAAACATGTTACTCAGTTTTTTTACTGGTTCTCAGGGTTACAATAGCCTGAAAAACTAGGCTATTATTGCTGGAAGTGTGCTTTCCTATTGCTAATTTTGAAGGGAATAATTCTAATATGTTTCCATTAAGAACATTGTTTTCTGTATACTTTCCATTAATTTCCCCTCTTAAAATGATTTTTTCCTTTTTACTTTTATTTTGTTCATATTGCTGTTCTCTAACTTTTTTAGATGCTTGTTTTTCTTCTTTTTGTAAAAATAGCCTATTTAAATGCTATACATTTCTTCTAAAACCACCACAAGATTTATTTAGTGTATCCCACAAAATTTGAGCTGTGCAGTATGTTTGGTACAATGTAATCAAAAATTATCTTCTAAACTTCACTTTATTACTTTTTTGCTATTTCAAGATTTGTTACATAATTTTCCTAGTCATCTTTTTGTTCTTTATAATTTCCTTTTATTGTGGACAGAGAAAATTATCTGGTTTATTTTGGTCATTTGAAATTTGCTGTTTTGTTTTTTTTTTTTTGGGTTTTGTTTTTGAGGCTTGGCATTTGACCAGATTTCGTTAGTGTTTAGAATGTACTTGTAAAGAAATTCCTATTCCTTAGTTATTGAGCACAATATTCCACAAAAGCTTTATTGTGTTCAAATGTCCAATAAGTGAAGTTGGAACTGCACTGCTTAGAAGCCTATTCTTTCTCTGGTGTCAGGTTATATTTGCACAAGAGGCATACAGAAGTGAAGGAGCAGAAAGTCTACTTTCTGGTCTTTGAGGACAGATGTGATAAAGGATATGCAAATTGGAGTCTAGTGGGCTCTATGCTGTCCTCACTGTTTTTCACTCCATGTCCAAGTATTCCTGACCAGCTGTGGGCTCCAAGTTCATGTGATTCTTGGCTGCAGATTCATGGAAACACGTAGCTAGACAAATGTAACATTTCCCCATAGACTTCATTAACTTTCCTTCCCAGTTTCACTTTAGCACATCATATGGATAGCTCTACAAGCCTCAACTTCTCTACCCATGGTAGTGTTTCAGGAGAGCTGAATGGTTCTTCTCTGACCATCTGTATTAGTCCATTTTTATACTGTTATAAAGAAATATGCAAGACTGGGTAATTTATTAAAAAAACATAGAGGTTTAATGGGCTCACAGTTCCACATGGCTGGGGAGGCCTCACAATCATGATGGAAGGTGAAGGAGGAGCAAAGGCCTATCTTATATGGCAGCAGGCAAGAGAGTGTGTGTAGGGGAACTGCCTTTTATAAAACCATTAGATCATGTGAGACCCGTTCATTGCCACGAGAACAGCATGGGAAAAACCCAGCCCTATGATTCAATTCCCTCCCACTGGGTCCCTCCCAGGACACATGGGGATTATGGGAGCTACAATTCAAGATGAGATTTGGGTGGGGACACAGCCAAACCATATTACTCTCCAAATCTTTCTTTCAGACCACTACTTTCCATTTTCTTTCACAATTTTCAAAGGCCTATTTTCTATAAACAATCCTTTATTCCATAGTAATCCTAACAGCTTTGCTTTCTTGATTAAATCTTGTCTGTTAAACTATTGGTTCTAGTACTTAGAATGTGATGTATTCACCATAATTTCTCACCAGTCTACACTTTCTTTTTCTTGAATATATTGGTAGAAGCAAATACATTTAATTTACTACTTCCTTTTTTTTAACAAGTAGAAACTAAAGGGCTAGAGCCCTTAGGCTGTCAGATTTCAACTGCTTCCACATACAACAGAATTGGAACAGTTCTACAAATTTGGAAACACTGACTACATATCTTGAGATATTTCTTTAATTGGATGGAACAATAAATTAATGTTTGAAAATCATTATAGAAATACTTTGGGCTAGGGAATTTGGCATCTTATGAAATTTTCATCAGTGTTATTGCTCCCCCACCTCTATTCACCAAAGCATGCTTGGAGGTTTTTAAAAGCATCTTTCCCAAACACTCTGTTTCTAGAGATCTAGATAAGACCTAGGTACATGCATTTCTAACAAGCAGACCAGATAATTCTGATGAACAGAGTTGTAGACTTTTTTTGAAAATAATGGAGCTAGAAAAAAAATGTGGGAGCTACTCTGTTAGTGGTGGCAGACATTCAAGTTACCCTGAATTACCAGAGGTGAATCCATATGGGTCCACAGCAACTTCAGTCCTTGCCTCCTCAGAAAAATAATTCAATTGAGGGGCACAAAGCAGAAAAAGAGAACAAGGCATTTCAGAGCAGTAGTGGGATTTTATTTTTATTTTTCTGTTTAGAACAGAAAAAAAAAAAAAAAGAAAGGAAAATTCGCTGGGAGGAGACCTAAGTGGGCACCTTAAAGTCCAAAAGAGAAAAAAAGAGGAATTTAACCATGATGCTGGGACTGTATAGGTTTGCCTCTTTCCCATAAGTCGTCCCATAACTGGGTTTTCTGCATCTGCAGTGCTCTCCTTACCCTTTGGAATTAAGCATGTGCAGCGTGTTTAGGGAGTTATACACATGCCCATCTGAGGCTTTCTTTCTTTTCAGGTGGAGTGTGCTCGAAGATTATACTTCACCATTTTTTTTTGTCTCTTAATATGCATGTCCAGGAGGTTGTTTCTCCTTGGGGCCTGCATTCAGGTAACACTTTTAATATTAACAGGTGTGGACCATCAGGAGATTGCCTCTCCCTGGCTGCAGAATAATCATTTTTAGAGAGGCAGTGTGATAATTGTGGAACTGTCACTTGACATTCCTAGTGAGTGTGTGGGGAGCCCTCTCCTGCCCCTCTCGTTGCCCATCTAACTACCTGTAACATTTCAACATGCAATTTTTCTTTCTGGGGACTGTTCCGTTCACCCTTATTTTCCAAAGTAGAAAAAAATAAAGAGACAAAACAACAAAAACTACCAAATTCTCAAAATTTTCTGGATTATCCAGCTTCTTAAAGGAATTTGCATCTTTAATATATAAACATCTGAATGTGCAAAAATATGTAATTTCATGAGCTAAACATGTTATATATACATACATTTTAATGTTTCTACACAACAAATATGACTTAAAAACAAGTACTCAAACTAAAAAAAAAATCAACATTTTACTGGAAGAATAAATTGAGTTTATGTCAAAATGTAGTTTAAGTATTACTTTGTTCACTGTGTGAATTTGATTCTCTTGAGATTTATGTACACATTACTTAAGACAGCTTTTCCCGCATACCTGCATATCCTTTCTTCCTGGTAAAAATTCTTGGAAGAAAAAAAATGTAAAAAAGGAGCACTTATTTTCTAGGTTAACACCAGGGCACATAATGTCACACATAGGAGAGATATACGTAGACAAACCTTTGAGGGGGATGGAAGCAGGTATCTCACGCCACTTAAACCACACTCTTTTTGTTAACATTCTCATCATTTTTCACATAATGCTGAAATAAATAGAATACTGGAATTATTACACATAAAAGTAGAAGAGTCAAAATTTGTCTAGAAAAAGAATATCGGCTCATTGTAGCTGACTTGTAAGCCTGGATAATTGCACCTTTTGCAATATTATTTTTCTTCATAAAATTCTTTGGTTACATAACAACTATTAACAATTTAAAAGAAATATGAGAGAGCCCCGTTTTGAATGATTGATGCAGGTTTCTCACCTTCAACTGGAGTCGATCAACAGAGATCCATAGCTATTCACAGCGCCCAACACTACAAAATCACTTTGGAATCTAAGTTTTATTTTGACACATAATAGTTGTCACACATAATAGTTGTCACATTGAAATTTCTTTAGCTTTTCTCTCCCTTTCATTAGATGCCTTTGTTAAGAGATAGAACTCTTAGCAACCACAGTTGGACCAAGTTCCCTCGGAACAGATCTTTCTTCCAAAGAAACACACACAGGATTCATAAGGAAATAACTCTCTCCTCCCTCCTCCTCTTTCTCATCTCCCATCACCTTCCTCTGTCCTCATCTTTCCCCTCTTTGATAACCTGCATGATGACTTGGTTAAAAGAAGAACATTAAAGCCAAGAAGGCGTCAAAAGACACAGCAAAAATAAGATAGCATTTCATTTAAGTAAAACACTCCCCTCTTAATGGATTCCTCTAAAGTAAATGTTTTGAAGTAGATTTTGCTTCCTGCGTGCAAAGAAAAATTGATGAAGGTAAGGATGAAAGCGAGGATTTGAAAAGAGCTAAGCATTTTTTTTTGGCTCCGGCACTTAAAATTTTATTTCACATAAAATCTCAAATGTTCCCGAGAACATTCTGAAAACAAAACAGAACTACTGGTTTGGTCAGCGGATAAAATCATCTGCCATGCTGGCAACTATCAACTCATATATGGCAGTAGGGTGCTTTTAATGCAGCCCTCCCACCAAAACCAATAGGTTTAATTAGACGAGACAAATCTATCTGAATTGGTTTGGCTCCTGATTTTGGTTAGCACGCTTTCATAAAAGTGAGGAATACCTGTATTTTATTTTTAAATCTGCAAAACGAAGATAAATGTCTTGGTAAGAAATTTAAACATGAATACAAAATATCAGTCAATAACATTTTAAAAGGAAAATATCCATCAATCATGGGAATCTTAAAAACAATTTCTTCCCTTGCTGTTTTCTCCATACACTTCCAGAAACCCAGGACTTTAGTTGATATATTTTAAAATTGCAGTGTACAGATAACTTTGTGAATTAAATTTGTCCTTATTTATCATGCAGTCTAGCTCTATGAATACTTTTAAGCCTTAAAAAATTAAAGCTTATATTCAAGAAGCCAATTTCCATGCACTTTCTTATTATCAGCACCCAGGAAGGAAGCAATACAAGCTGTGTGCATGTATGCTGTAGCAATGCAGAATCTGAGTTGGCAAGCCGAAGATCCTGCACCTGTGGCACACATCATGGTAACCCTGACTGGCTTTTTCAAGAAAGAAATATTACCTCCTCTACATATGAAATCATCTTTCAATAATGAGATCATTTCAAATTACCCAAGAATGTTTATAAAGTCTACCCAGTGGATAACAAATCAGTACTGGGGATTGGTCCCCGCCCAAACTGGGGTGACTGTCTCATAGTTTAGAAAATCCATAATCCTCAGTTCTAAATGCTTACTACTGATCAGTGGTTAATACCATCTGCCATATGTTTAATACTGGCAGTACCACAACAATTTATTAGTATTAGATAACAAAATATTACTTTTAAATCTTGTGATAAAATCTCTTATGCGTGTGATTAAAAAACAATATTCTTTTGGAGGCGAATTATAATTTGAAACTAGATTTTCAAATACTACATAACTGGACTGTATTGCTCTGGTGCTAATAATTTTATATATAGATAATGTGTGTGTGCAGATACACCGATTTATACATATTTAATATTTTAAGTGAAAAAAGAACAAGGATTTTTATGCATATAACACAGGCCTAAATTGGAGAGAAATAATTCAGCAAACATTTCTTTCCCCCTTAGATTATTAAGTCCATGAAGTCATTCTTAGCTGGTTGATTCTCTTTTGGCGTTCAAGTCTGTGGTGGTTGTTACACTGAGAATTTATTTAAGACAAGCTTACATTTAAGATGTTACATCACATCAAGTCGCTCGCTAACAACATGACTTCTTGTGTATCAGAGGTATTGGAACAAGGCACTGAGCATCATATAAGGTGGCACATGAACACAAAAGCCTGAAAACTTATTAAAGATTCGCAATTATTTTAAAGCAAAAAAATGTTTATCATAAACAACTTGTACCTAACTTATACAAAAAAGCTTCATGATGCAAAATTGGCATTCAAAAAGAAAAGTAATTTTTGAGGAATAATTTAACAATTTTCTAGATTAAAATTAACAAATTAATCAATATACACTGTCTTGCACCCATTAACTACTAAGGAAACACCCTTCCTTTTCTATTATATCTTTACTTGAGAGCCTGAAGCAATCTAACCGCTGCATAATGTTGTTTTCCAGATAAGATCAGTCTTGAAACTATTATTACCAAATACTTATCTCTAAGAATTGAATTGTTAGTTTTCTGTTGAAATCCAAAATTTCAGTCTCCAGAAAATGAATTCTGTATTTACCATGAAGAACTGTCTGGGATTCTGACGGTAGTTGAATGTGTTCAGGACAATTTCAGGAATAAACCTCTGCTATGATATGTTAATGCTTTAATTTGTGAATTTTCTTATGTGATCTGATTTTGGCAATTCCTTTTCATATTTTAGAATGAGAGAATATATAAGGCTCAGTCAGCCTCTTTGATTCCTTTTGTTTTGCCCCAACGTTTTCCTTAATGGGGAAAGAGGTATCAAATAACCCAAGAGAAGACCATAAAAATATATAGATGCACTGGAAAGTGATGGGACAGCCCAAGGCCCGTGTTTTCTAAACTGCAAGACTCCATGATTTCCCAGTATTTTGATTTTACCCGCACTTTCAACAGTCATTTACAGCACCTCAGACAATATAGTCTGGAGAGGGCCCAATCAATGAAGCAGAGAAGTAGCACACTCCCAACATCACAAAGTTGGCCTCTACAAAAGTGTATAAAAACTTTAAATTAAAAAAAAAAAAAAAGAAAGAAAGGAGAAAATTGACACATGGCTTCTAGCCTCTGGCCCTAAACCCAGAGGAAAAAGAAGTAAGGCAAGCCACCTGCTGCTTCCTCATTATGCTGACTAGATTGTTGATTTAGCCAGCTGTGCTTTGTTTTCCTCAATCATGACATGCTTGGCAAGTTCATCAGAATTAATTCCCAAGTTCTCTTTTAATTTGTTGAGCTCAAAGTCATGGAGAATCTTGATAGTCATTAACTTTTCTCGCTTGATTCTCTCCACAACATCTTTTGGAACATCAGGTATCATCCAGGCCAGCAAAAATTTAACTAAAAACACAACATGCTAGAGAAAATATAAAGGAAAGATTAGACACTGTTAGAGCTGTCACCTGTTCAGCAGAAAGTCTTTACAAGTCATTTCGCTTATTTAAAAAACTGCTGAACATGTGAACATAAAAAACTTTCAAAACATATGAAGAAAGGCAAGCAAGAAGATATGGTCCCTGTCCTAGAACTTTCATACAAAGATCACCATTAAACAAATAAATATATACTTAAGTATGTAACTAGCAATATTCTAGTTGAACAGGAGTATTGAATACACTATTTTTCACTGCTCCCTTGTAAAAACCTGATAAAATATTTATAAAGGAATTAGACTTAAAAGAGTGAAAAAAGCTAACAGTTAAACTTGCAAATGGTAATGTGGTGACTGATAGTGGAAACCAAAATGACAAAATCCAGTTTTGTTTCAGATTGTCAGAAATGTTCAGGAAAGAAGGCACTAAGGACGTTTGAAGGTATTAGTGTGGGTTGGAGTTAAAAACAAGAGGATTAGATAAAAATTTGAATAAGGAGCACTTGAATTTTCAGAGCCTTTCTCTCATCTGTATCCAGGCATTCTTTGGCTTTTTACTAGGCCCTGGAAGCAGCTGAAGAGGTTATTTTCTAAAGAAATTATACCTGAAATCTGTGAATTCAGGGGCACCAGATACAGATGAGATATGAAAACATACTGAAAAGAATGTAAAAATGGTGAAATTCAGCATGATGAACTGTGAGCTTCTTAGTCTTCTTCGCTTTGCTCAGGTTTTAGAAAACAGGCAGCCATGAAATAGCTCAACAGACAGATTTGAGGGGTTTTCTCCAGGAAAAATAACTATTCTATAAAAGCAGAACTATGAATGTCAAAATTTTATAAGGCACCAATAAAAATGTCAGCTCACTACCTTATCAACCTACAGTGAAACCCACCAAGTGGCATAACTTCTGTATGCCCAAAAAGCTTAAAATCAGCTTTTCACTGCCACACTTTTAAGCATGAGCAGAACCGTGAAACATGTAGGAAAGTCTCTGACATGGAAAAAAAAAAAAAAAAAAAAAAAAAAAATATAAAAAAAAAAAAAAAAAAAAACCAGATATAAGGAAGAGAGCAAAAGAAAAAAGCAGAATTTTAAAAAAGTATTAATCTAGCTTTTCATAGAATAGAATATAAATGATAATAAGAATTTCAAACCAGGAAGTGTAATATCTGAATAACAGCAATTCCAGAGAGATGGCACAAAGAAAGAAAAATGTATCAAAGAAATTGTGCCAGCAAATTTTCTCAACTTGAAGGGTAAGTACGTTTTTAGATCTAAGGGGCCCAGTGAGTATCTAAAACAATGAATATTGACCAACAGCAAAGAAGCCTCTTGTGAAGCTTCATAAAAGTGAGGCTAATGAGAGAATCCCAAAACCGTATTGATTTTGAAAACAGATAATAAATGAAGACTGGGGAGTCAGAAAAGTATTGCATTTTATAGCAACACTGGTAGCTGAATGAAAATGAAGCAATGTCTTCATAATTTCAGGAAAACCAAAATAAAGTTGATTAAAAATTTTTCAAGAAAAACAACTTTCAATTATAAATTCCATTCCAAATAATCACATGTAAGAAAAGAAAAAAAATTTCAATATTCAGTTTCTCAGAAATTGCCACAAATTTTTCCCCAGAAAATTATTGGAAGATGTGCTTCACCAAAATAAGCTGTTAAACCAAAAATAGGAGAAACAAATGTAATCTTCAACAGAAGACAAGGTGAAGAGAAGGATGATGCTTGGTTATAGCCTGGAGTGATTACAAAAAATTAATGCAAATTATAAATAAATTAAAAAGAATTCCTGATATAATTTACTGGCTGAAAGGTCATCTAAACTTCTGACGAAATGTTAAAACGAAAGACTGATAAATTTATAATGAACTAAGAGACAGAGAGCGAGAATAAAAGCAAAACTATAATAAGAGAAATATGTTCAGAGTATAAGAAACAGATGTGACTAATATTTGTAAAGTCATAATTTATAAAACCTGACTATTGCATTTATATAAAATCTTTTATTCAAAACTCTGATGAGCAGACGTATTTTAGAGTTGAGAGTATCAAATATTGAAAACATATAATTTAGTGTATAAACCAGCAGGGTCTGAGGTGGCACTCTGTATCAAACACTTAAATATTTCTGCAGCAAAGTAAATGAATAGTCACTTTAAAAGAATAAAGGCTATAAATTGCCTTAAATTAGATAATATATTGCTGCTAAATAAGTTATCAAAATACTTTGTTTTCTGACATTTCAAATTTCAGAATAAGACAAAAAAATGTTTAATTTTTGAGCAGTAGGAGAAAGTTTTTTTCTCTCTCTCTCTTTCTGTGTGGGGGTGTGTGTGTGTGAGACCTGCCAAAGTAGAATGTCAGTAATTAACAGCTAACAAATAAAAATAAAAATAAAAAAACTGCAAAATGATGTTCTTTTCCATACAAGGGTAACTACTAGAAGGGTGAGTTTATAAAATTGAAATGTTTACCTTTGGAGATTAGGATTTTAGGGTAGGGAGGAATATTATGTATGATTGCTCTTTTTTTTTTTTGCCATGCAGAACTACTTGATTTTCAAAATTACATGAATAACCTTGATAACAATAAAAATAAATTAAACAGAATTGACTGGAATGGCATGTTCTTGGGTTAAGATTGTCTTTTATTGGACTTTACTCCAGGGTGAAAAAGTGCCTTTCTTTTATTTTTCTCTCCCGTTAGGCCTTCCTGCCTTATGATTTGTATCATTCAATTTGAAACTTCGTCCAATACCACCTCTGTATTGGTTACCTCTCCTGGCATGCTTTATCTCTATAATTACACTGGATATTCCACAACAGAGGTAGCGTAATATAGTAGACAGAGCATAAGCTTGGGAGTGAGGCACATTTGGCATTGAAACCCAGCACTAATGTTAGTTGGTTAACCTTAGGCCAGCTACTGATTTTTGCTGAGTCTCAGATTCCTTTTTCAAAGGTGAGTGATAAGGTCTAACTTACAATGTTGTTATGACTTAAAGCAGCTTCCAGAACTAGTAAATAATAGGTATTCAGTAAAATCTGTGGGGTCTTTCCCCTTTTCCTGACTTCAGGGGAAAAAACATATTTGTTTTTCTTTCCTTTTCTGTCACCAAGGAATCTTCAACAGTAAGTGAATAATAGGCAATCCATTGGACTGAGAATATCCCTAAGGTGCTTTTCATGACAACAAGTACAATACTTTCTTCAAGACAATTTATTGAGATATTGCTAACTTGCTGACAAGAGATTACCTTTAGAAATATCTGCCTAAAGAAAGAAGAGAGAGTGGAATAAAAGTTAAGAACAGCTTACTTCCATAACAATGATGAAGGTCATCTTGGCAGCAAGGACATGCCAGAATTGCATATTATGAAAATATTTATTCTCATCATCAGGAGGATGTCTGTAATCTCTGTACCTGAAAAGTGGAAGTAAATGAAAAAAAAATAGTTATAGTTTCAACAAGAGAGACCTAATATAATTTCTTATTTCTCTTAAGAAATTCTTCTAGTTGATCAGAAAAATCAGGTCAAAGTTAATTGATATTATGAAATACTTATCTTTCTTGTTCACATAAAGTCAGGATATATGCTACTTATGTGTGATATAGATCTAAGAATAAACACAGAAGTAAAATTTCTCTCCTGCCTTCAAAGACAGCTTCTCAAGTGAGTTACTCAAAATCTGCTGCTTCTACTTCCTCTTTTCCTACTCCTTGACACACCCAGTCTTATCCTTCTCTCCTATCCTTAAATTGCAGGCATATTTTAATCCTTCGATTTGACTTTTCAAAAACAGGAATATTATCGGCAACTTCTATTTTCGTGAAACACTGTTTTCTTTTGGCTGTTCTGATGCAGTATTGCTTTCTTAAAAAAATACAATTCTGAAATTTTCTTAATGCTCAACTTTGTGAGTTCATTCTCCTTTATAAAGTCGCTGGATACTGGTCCTCCTCAAAGATTTAGTCCAGCTGGGGGGTAATCACATCCAGAAATCTGACACCAGTGGCCATGCTCTTAAACAGAGTAGGCTATGATTTCACTCAAATATGTAATATAACAATATAACAATGTCTGCCTATCTTGCTATATTTTGCTCCTTTTTTTTGGAGTCTCAAATGAAACAATGGTTTAAGTTAAGGGGCCTTGATAGGCATGTGTGTGTGTGTGTATCTTTAAATTGTATGGTGAAAAGATCTCGTAGTACATGATACATGGAGTGTGGAAACAGTAGATTCACATTTAAAATTTCATATTTCCTACACAGAATAAAACCTTTTAGTGGGATAGGTGGTGAGCTGATCATATTGCTATTTCTGTCTTTCTCACTCTGTCTCTTTCCTGAGGGCATAGATAATTCAAGTAAGTTAAATGCACATACAACATGACGCTGTTGTATGATCTACAGATTACTGCAACTTTAGGCTAAGGGGCACTTGTTGGTGACAAATCCTTTTGAAAAAATTTTAAATTATTGTTATCTTTACCCGTAATATTCTCTTAGTTTTTGACAGTCTACGCTTTCAAATCTCAGTCAGGCAATGTGTGAATTCTAGAATGGATACACTTTATTTATACAGGATTTTTGTTATCCTAAGAAACTCTTTTGCATTGTTAGAAAAACATGAAGGGAATAGATAACTTAAGAAATACATTTAAAGGGCAAAATTAAAACCTAAACAAAAGGAAACCTGCAAGTGATGAAGTCTCGTGTTTCCGAGGGTGCAGTGTGGTTTGGAAAATCAGCTATCAGGAATACTGACAGGCTGTTATTGACATATCCTCTCATAGGCTGCGTGGCATTTGTTGAGTAAGCATAATAGTAAACTAAACGAGGAATGATGTCCGACGTAAATGCAACAATAAAAGCCTGAAGAAAAAAAAAAAAAAGAGGAAATTCATGAGCTGCCAATTTAGTTTTAATAATGTCTGATTTGTAAATCTCTCAGTACCATAAGCTGTATGTGATTAAATACTATTATAAGTCAGAGTAATACGCAAATCTTTGTCCTGAAACATGAAACAGCTCATTTACAGTACGTGCTTAGTATTCCAGGATGTCATAGCTACAAAGTGTCTAAGTGGAGTCAGACCTAAATGTATCTGTCTCCAAGAACCATGTTCTTTCCATCAAGCCTTGCTATTTCTGACATATCTTATTGTTTCACAGCACAGTTCTACTATCCTTACCAAATTCACTTTCTTAGAACAACTTCATGAGGTTGGACTGTGAGTGTGTGAGAAGAAAGGAATGAAGATCAGAATATCATGTGTTTGTAAATTCCTCACAGTTCAGTGCAATTAATTTCAGTATTTGATTTCATGGGAATGATATTTTCCCATCCTTTCCTAAGCTCTGGGATAGTATAAATAGCATATTTCTTTTAGGTTAGATAAGTCAATCAAAAACCATCTGGCTCTGGCACTTTTATTTTTAGTGCTACACTTTAAAAAAATCTAATATAACTTATATGGCTAATGGTTCATTCAGGTTTTCTTTACTTACTGAATAAATCTGGTAATTTTTGCTTTCTAAAAAAGTGGTCATTTCAAATATACTTCAAAATTCATTGGCGTAAATGGGTACATAGCAGTCTTTCATACTTACCTCAGTTTTACTTACTTTGTCTTTCGAATAAACCAGCTCTTGATTTACTTAGCAATTATATTGCTTTTTGTTTGTTTTCTAATTTGATTATTTCTGATTATACCTTTATTATTTTTTTACTACTAAGTTGATTTACTTTTTGTTTTGTTAGCGTCTTAAGTTATATACTCAGCTCATTTTCCAGTCTTCTTTTATTAATAAAAAAAAAATGCATGGCAAGCAAGTTTTCTGTAATAGTGGTTTTGGCTCATTCCTACAGGCTTTCATTAAATTAGGCTCTCTCTATGATCTTAATTCTGTTTTCTCTTGTGTGAAGCCTACTTAAAAGTGTTAGATTTTCTTCTTTGATTATCTTATCATCAATATCAATTTGTAAAGTATTATTGTAGGTGAAAATACATTGTAAAAGTTACACTTTTGGAAATTTATTTTTCTTACATTTTAATAATTGTTTTATAAACCTAACAAGTAAGTGTTGTATATTCTCTGTAGTATATAATCAATTTTTAATTGTTTCATTCAAATACATTATACTGTTACTTATTTTGTTTACTTTGTCACATGCTGTGAAACTGTGTCATGATACTTTAATGAGAGTAATTTTATAATTTTCCTTATATTTATAAGAGTTTACATGTCATAGGTTTTTCCATATTGGTTAGTGCATACCAATTTTGGAATGTTTAGCTTTATAAAGTATTACCATGATGAAATCAATGTAAAGATTAAGCATCATTCACATCTCTCCATGGCCCCCCAAATAAAAAGAAATACAAAGTCACCCCACCGAAATAGATCCACTTACATTAGTTGCAACAGAAAGGACAGCCATTCCATAAAGAATGTCTTGCCAAACACCTATGCTATGAGCTTTAGAAGCTACAGTTCTCCTGTACTGAGTGGTAAGTTTCCAGGCATCCACTCGAATCTCTACAATATTATTTATGAGAGCAAGAAGAGGAGCCAAAGGAAAAGAGGCCACAAATAGTGTAACAAATCCAAATTGAATAACTGTAGAGAAAAGAAAAAGGCATGAACTCATTATTGTGAAGGAGAAAGATGGGAACACCCTCCCCAAATCCTGCTACTTCCTTCATTTTGGAGTGATCCACACCAATACAACAATCCAGGCTTCTGTGAGTCTGTCCACTTCCTCCTCTCCACAGGAGACACAGTGACTTATCTGCTTGCTAGAACTGGAAGGAGAAACTGGGCATGCATGGCTGAGTTCCTTCTTTGTTCTTCTGTTAGAGATATGCTTGTTAGAAGAGTCTATTCCTCTTTGCCTTTTAGTATGGGCTAAGTATAGGTTTATGCTGGTCTAGTCTTTACATTTGTATTAGCAATTTAGTGAGGTAACCATGTTTTTATTTCTTGCTAGCCCATCTACTTTTTGAGATCAGGCATGATGACTGATTCATTTGTATATTTCCAGCAGCCAGCTCTGTGTGCGCCAGCAAAGGAAATACACATTTTCTAGAATAAGGACTTTGTTAAGGTCTTGATTCTCCTTACTATCATGACATCTTTCTAAATAAATTTTATTCTCTCTCCTCATTAAGACTCAACAGAGGACTACAACTTTGTAAGCTGGCTTATCTCCACACTTTTATTCTTTTGTTTCCAACAATGTTTGGGGTAAAAGAACTTATGCATCTGACAGCCCATGCTTCCCACATGATTAAATTAAAAAAAAAATTTAAAGGAAACGGCTTTCCATTAAAGGAGAAAAGAAAACATTTCTGCTATTCCTATATTTTAAAATAAATCTCAAATGTTTCTGGATTTTAGCTTATCTCATCTGACTGAATCAGTCTTGTTATCAAGTAAAAAAATACATACTGACTTCTTTTCTTTCCTGCTTCCTCTACCTAACTTACAAGGTAGAAAGTGAAGAGGAAGTATTATGTAGAAGCAGTATTAATGTTCTAGGTTCACATCTCATATCTTTACTTGAATCTTCTTGACCCATAAAAAATGTATTAACCTATCCAAGTTTCAGAATCCTCAACAGCAAAATGTGTGGAATAATGAATACTCTGGAGAATTCTTTCAAAATTACAGTTAATATATAAAGCTTTCAGAATAAACTAATTATGTCTCAATAAGCAGTATACAATCTTATGAAACCTTTATTTCAACTTTTTAATTATGGTAATAATCTCTGATGCATATATGTGCAAACTCATATGAAACTTACACAATTAATTAAAAATTATAGCCTTATCACTTTATAAAGCAAAGACTATTGATTTTACAAAGAGTTGTATAAAACATCTTCTATTTGTTCTAAATTTGAATTTCAATCCATGTATCACATATATGTATTACACTGGAGAAGCATGAAGAGCTTTGGCTCATCTCATGTATTCTACCATGGTTTTATGGGCCTTGAGAGTGTGTTAAGAAAATCATTTTCCTTAATTCTATGACAGAAACAAAGAAAACTGCTTGAGAGAAAACACTCTGAGCAGACTATATAAGCAGTGCCCAGAAAAATTGCTCTGAAAGTTGCACCTCAAGGGTTTCTTCTCAGTTCAATCCTTGCAATGCTTTGGATGTTTCTTGTGTTCAGCTGTATTTCCCTTACATAACTGCTTTAGCCTTCTTTTCAGTCTCACAGAAAGGACATACACTAATTGCAAGTCAAATCCTGGAAATGTTTTCCAAGGAACTTATTCTCTCTTTGAGCTGTCACTGAGGCAAACAAATGGAGAAAGAGCCATCAAAGCTAATTTGAGGTGGGTGTTAAAAAAAAGACTCTTACTTAATTTGGTTCAATAACATTAACATTCAACTGATAGGAATTATGTCTCCGAGACTGGTGTTTTGAAAGTAAACTTGATTCTGCAGTCTGTTTGGTGGGAAAGGGAAACAGGGAACAAATCTTCCTTATATCACTCCATCCCTCTTTTTTGCCAAGCAACCAATGATTTATTGAACACCTACCAGGTGCAAGGCAGAAATAAATATCAAGAGTTGAAAAATCATGCATTCATGATGACTCTATGTTTCAGAACAGTGATTTAAAATTACCTGTTTCTAAGTACTCATAAAAAAGCCCAAGGGGTCCAAAACTTTCAAGGTCATGATCCTGCTCCCATCGACTATACAGCTTCTCAGAGTTTGTCCGAGCTTTTCGGCGTCTCCACCAATTCAAAGCCAAGCTGTTGGAAGTGATAAAAGTAAATATGTGAAATAGAACTAAAAAGAAAAAGATCAGAGAATCAGAGTGTTAGATCTGGAAACCGGCAGAAATGAGAGGTTAACTAAGATCACAGAGCAAAGAGAAATGACTCCAGCCAGGGCAAATCAAAATCTGGTATTATTTTCATGACATGTGCAAAGTTCTTTATTAGTGTAACTGAGAAAATAAGACAATCCTGACTCTGTTCAGAGAAATATATTTACTCACAGACAGTTTGGCTAAATCATAAGTGAAGGGGACACTTATCACTAAGACCACTTACAATCCTGATGCTGTCATGAAACTCAGAAGAAAATTCAAACAAATATGAAATTGATTATAATAGGAAATTACATATAATGTGAAAATAAATGCAACAACATTAAACAAAATTTTAACCAACTGAATTCCATGCTATATGAAAAGATAATATATCATAATAATGTATTACATTTTTTTTTAAAAAAGAGGCTGTGTTTTTTAAAAAAATAACATATATATATATATATATATATATATATATATATATATCACATATAATGGTTTAAGGTGAAAAATACAAAATCATCTCAATTGATGCAGAAAAATGCATTTGCTATATTAAGCATGTATTAAAACCTGCTTAGGAAAGAAAAGTAGAAACAGAAAAAATATTACTTAAATCTAATAAAAAATATCTACTAAAATCCTAGGGCAAATATCCTTCCTTTTCTTTCATTCTCCTTTCCTTTATTTTCTTCTCTTTTCCTTTCTCTTTTTTTTTCTTTTTTGAGGCAGGGTGTTACTCTGTGACTCACGCTGGAGTGTGGTGGTGCCATCGCAGCTCACTGCAGCCTCGACCTCCTGGGCTCAAGTGATTCTCTTGCCTCTACCTCTTAAGTAACTGGGACTACAGGCATGTGCCTCCATGCCTGATTAATTTTTAAATTTTATTCTATGGAAAAGAGATCTTGTTTTGTTGCCCAGGCTGGTCTTGAACTCCTGGGCTGAAGCAATCCTCCCTCCTCAGCCTCCCAAAGTGCTGGTATTACAGGCGTGAGGCAATGCACCAGGCTGCAAACATCATTCTTGATTGGGAAAAGTCAGAAGCATTGACTTTAGAATCAAGAACAAAATAAGAAACTGCATGACCATATATTCAAGGTTACTGGAGATCTTAGTAGAATAAAATGAGAAAGACAAAACAATTGGAAATAAAAGAGAAATGTGTGATTATTAACCGTTATGTGATTGTCTGAATAGAAAACCCAAGTGAAGTTAGACAAAAATAATTACAAATAATATTAGGATTTATTAATATATTTCATTCCTGCACACCCACAACACCCAAGTAGAAAACATATATTTAAAAAAAAACATTATTTACAATAGCAATTAAAAACTACCCAGAAATAGACATGAGAAAAGATTTATAAGCCCCATATTTAAAAATTTAAAATCTTTATTTGAATTCACTAAAGACTTTAAATGTTTATGAACATTTAAAGAATTTAAATGTTCATGAATAAGAAGACTTGGTATTATAAAAAAGTCAACTGTTTATATTAAAACAATTAAAATATAATTTCAATGAAAGAGCCAAAATATTTTTTCATGTAAAATCTGACAAGATATTTATAAAATTTATATAGATTGCTAAAAGACCAAGAATAGCCAAGACAGTTCTACAGATAAAAAGTAAGTTGATAAATGTAGCCCCACCAGATATCAAGACTTATAAATCTGTATTAATTAAGAGATTATAGTACTGTATTCACAATGGCAAAGACATGGAATCAACCTAAATACCCATCAATGGTAGAGTGGATAAAGAAAATGTGGTACATATACACCATGGAATGCTAAGCAGCCATAGAAAAGAACAAGATCATGTTCTTTGCAGGAAAATGGATGGAGCTGAAGGCCACTGTCCTTAGCAAACGAATTCAAGAACAGAAAAACAAATACCACATGTTCTTACTTATAAGTGGGAGCCAAATATGAAAACACATGAACACATAGAAGGGAACAGCAGACACTGTGGCCTACCAGAAAGTAGAGTGTGGGAGGATGAAGAGGATCAGGAAGAATAACTAATGGGACTAGACTTAAAACCTGGCTGATAAAATAATCTATACAACAGACTCCCATGACACAAGTTACTTATGTAAGAAACCTGCACATGTACCTCTGAACTTAGTTTAAAAAAAGAGAGAGAGATTGTCATACTTCTATAGGGATGAACAAATCTTGGGATAGAATGGAAAACTAGAAATAGTCTTGCAGTTGATATAATTCTGGATAGTATTTATATGGCATGTAGACAGTTTTTATATGGCATAAAAGGTATTATAGAAAATATTGTATGTAGATGAATAGTAGTGTAGGTGATAGTAGGAAAAGGAAACTTTTCAATAAATCATAATATAACAATTTATACAAATATATAGTTTATACATATATATACATATAAAAATAATAGATTTGTACCTCATATCAAACATACAAATTCTGTCCATATATATTAAGAATTTGAAAATGAAAGACAATAATGTTAAAATGTATAAAACATTTAGAAGTAAGTATATGAAAATATCTTTGTGTATGTGTGTGTGTTTCCATATAGCTTTTTTTTTTTTTTTGAGACGGAGTTTCGCTCTTGTTACCCAGGCTGGAGTGCAATGGCATGATTTTGGCTCACTGCAACCTCCGCCTCCTGGGTTCAGGCAATTCTCCTGCCTCAGCCTCCTGAGTAGCTGGGATTACAGGCACGCGCCACCATGCCCAGCTAATTTTTGTATTTTTAGTAGAGACGGGGTTTCACCATGTTGACCAGGATGGTCTCGATCTCTTGACCTCGAGATCCACCCGCCTCGGCCTCTCAAAGTGCTGGGATTACAGGCATGAGCCACCACGCCCGGCCTTCATATAACTTTTTATCAGTATGTCTGCATATTCAGTATTTTGCCTAGGACCTTACTTTGGGCATGTCTTTAACCAATACAGTAAATAATAATGAAAATGTCTTATAATCTTGTGTAGGAAAATATTTCTTTTAAAGTTATGTAATTTTATCTAAAGCAGTGGTTTCCAACTGGGAGTAATTTTGCCCACAATGACACAATTGCACTGTCTCGAGATATTTTGGTTATCACAACTGGGGAAAGATGGGTTACTGGCATCTAGTGGGTACCGTCCAAGGATGCTGTCAAACATCTTGCAATGCAAAGGATGACAAGCACCCCCACAACTAATAATTATGTCAATAATTCTGTGGTTGTGAAACTGTGACCTAAACATACTATTAAAAAATAAAAAAATAAAATTCATGTTAGAATAAAATATTTTCAACATATATTACCAAAAAAGAAGCAAACAAACAAAAGCCAGTAACCAGAAGTTTGAAAGTATACATACAAATCAATTGAAAAAAGATAGACAAGTAGGAAAACAGTTAAACAACATGAACAAGGGATGAAATTAAATTTCAATTTAATTGAAAGGGAAACAAATATGGCTGAAAATGCTTATTCATGATATTAATCAAAAAAATGCAAAATTAGACCAAAACAAGATATCATTTATAACCCCCAGCTGGCAAAAATTAATAAGACAATATGAATTACTGTAGCAAATGTGGATTAAGAGGAACAATTATATGTTGCTTATACTCAAACCAGACACAAAGAGAAAAAAAAAAAGAATGTAAAGAGGAAAAGCACCTGAGATTTCTGAGACAATAATCAAACACAGGAGCATACTATAACTGGGGTCACAGTGGAAAAGATATCACCTAGTTCAAGAAAGAGAATTTAGCTAGAAATTTCAGAAGCTCTTTCATGGGCTTTATTCCATTTATGAATTCTTCAATTCTGACATCCCTAACCATTATCTTAAAGTTTACATAATCGCTTATTTGGTTTTATAAAATATAGTTTTGTCTATGATCCATTGTGAGTTCATTTTTGAATAAGGTGTAAGTTTCACATAGAGTTTTATTATTTTGCATGTGGGATGTTCAATTGTTCCAATGCCATTTATGAAAAAGTCTAATCTTACATCAATGAATTGTTTTTGCACCCCTGTCTTAAACAAAATGGTCATATTTGGCTAGAGCACAAATTTCTGCAATATCTGTTTCTACAATCTCTACTTGGTTCCATTGGTTTATGTAACTACCTCATCACCATCCTACATTGTCTTGATTAATATAGTTTGTAGTAAGCCTTAAAATCGAGTAGGGTAATTACTACAGCTTTATTCTTCTTTTATCATACTGCTTTGGGTTATTTTAGTTCCTTGGCCTTTCATATAAATTTTAGAATCCACTTGTCTATACCTATAAAAAGCCTGCTGATATTTTGATTAGAATAACAATAAATCTGTATGTATCAATTTGGAGATAACTGACCACCAACATGATATTTCTCTCCATTTATATAGTTTTTAAAATTTCATCAGGGTTTTGTAGTTCTCCCCACTCAAATCCTATATGATTTTAGATTCTACCACAGTATTTCATTTGTTTGGAGCTAACACATTCTGTGCTAACCAATGTCTCTTGCATTCTGTACTTTCACTTTATGATCTCCTTTTCCTCAAGTAAATCTTTCAGTAGTTTTTGCCATGATGATCTATAAATGTAAACTCTCCTAGTCTTTTTATGTCTAAAAATGTCTTTACCAGCACTTTAAATAATAGCTAACCTGGTTCTAGAAATAAAAGGAGAACATTATTTTCACTGAGAACCTTGAAAATACTATCTTTTGGCATCTAATGCTATTGATGAGAAACTGATGATAATGTAGATGACATTCATTTGAATAAAGTTAATCGTTTTCTTCTAAAAGATTTTAAATATTGTCTGTTTATCTTTGGTGTTCTGTAGTTTCACCATAATGAACTGGGGTGTGAATTGAATTCTATTATCTTGAATTGAATTCTAATATCTTGATTCACACCCAGAATTTGTTTCCATTTCTGAAACTCATGTTTTTCCTCATTTTTGAAAAATGTTCAGCAATTACTTATTCAAATAATTTTTTTCCTTCACCATTAACTCAATTTTTCTGGAAATACTAGTAAATTAATGTGGAAGCCTCTTAATCTAACATATCCTTACTTTATTTTTATTAAATGTCATATATTTGTTACACTGTACAATGTAGGAATTTCTCACTATTATTATTTTCCAATTCACTAATCCATTCTCCAACTGTGTCCAGGGTGGAATCAAACTGTGGAATTTTCCCATCTATTGTACTCATTATTTAAAGTATAATCTTTCATTTATGTGTAATTTCTTCCATTTCATATTCACTTATTCTTATTTCATTTCTATCAGTTTTCATTTAAAAATTTCTTGATCTGTTTTAATGATAATATCACCTTCCATTATGTTATTAATATTGTCAGCATCATTTTTTAAGGGCTTTGCCAGAATATTCTAGTTAGAAATATCAGCAGGAGTAAGTTCATTTTCTAGTAACTGACTTTATTCACAGCCTTTGTAGCATTAAACATTATCACATTTTAGAATTTTGGTTATTAGGAAGGCTTAGGTTTTTTTTTTGTTGTTGTTGTTAATTTGCTGCTGCTGCTGCTTCTTTTTAATTATTTTACCTCCCCTGTCTTTTGTCTCTCTCCCCTGTGCACATGTATCCCCCATCTTCTGTTTGGTTTAGGTATTGTCTCTATTCAGTCCCGTGGGTTTTCAATCTAGAGCTAGAACTGAAAATAAAATTTGGTGGCCAGGCACAGTGACTGATGCCTGTAATCCCAGCACTTTAAAAGGCCGAGGTGGTGGATCACCTAAGGTCAGGAATTCGATACCAGCCTGGCCAACATTGTGAATGCTAAAAACAGAAAATATACTAAAAATAAAAAAAAAATTAGCTGGGTGTGGTGGTGGGTGCCTGTAATCCCACTCACTTGGGAGGCTGAGGCAGGAAAATTGCTTGAACCTGGGAGGCAGAGGTTGCAGTGAGCTGAGATCGCTTGCATTCCAGCCTGGGCAACAGAGTGAGACTCTCAAAAAAAGAAAAGTTTGGAGCTATTTCCCTTATGGATGTGGTATATCAAAGCATGAAACTAGAAGGTCAGGCTCACATTTATGAGCATCTGTAAGGATAAGTCTGTGTTCTTCTTTTGTTAGTACTTGAAATAGAGCCCTAAGTGGCACTATGTAATCGTGTATATACTGGAAGTGGGAAAGTGCAGGGATGATGTTTTCAATCTTCTTTCATGAGTAAGAGAATAAACCCAGTCTCTGGCTTCCAGGGCTGTTAAACTGGATAGTACCTGTCTTAAGTGGAGTTCTTTTACTTCACTTTATATTGCATGACAAACCCTGACATAGTTATTTCCCAACTAGGAACCTTGTAGGAACATAGACTTATGATTTTATAATTCTTTCTCTTTTTATCCATGACAAATGTTCATCTACTATTTGAAATAAACTGTCAGCTTAGCCTTCTCTTTTTAGAATGTATTCATTATTGCTGTGTTTTGATCAGAGAGGAATCTTTCATATATTGACCTGAAAGTCTCCGTCATTTCATTTACAATCTATTTTTATGCCTAAATTACATGACACAAGGATATTTTTACAAAGTTCACCTTTTAGTAATATTCAGAAATAATGCACAGCATGTAGAATAAACTGCAGAGGATATAGCATTTAGATGTCCCAGTAAAATCGTCAGAGGAGAGAGGAATAAATAATCCCTCAACAAAGGGAAAGGTAACAAAAGTACATATTTTAAAGATTTTTTTCAATACATGATATTGTACTTCATAAATATGTATAATTATTATTTGTCTGTTAAAAAATTTTTAAAAATCTTATAGTAGAACGATTTATAATCCTTTGGATATATACCCAAGAAGAGCAGAAGAGCAAACACCGCATGTTCTCACTCATAGGCAGGTGTTGAACAATGAGAACACATGGACACAGGGAGGGGAGTACTACACATTGGGGTCAGTTGGGGGG